TTTTTTTTTAAGATTTTATTTATTTGACAGAGAGAGACACAGCGAGAGAGGGGAACACAAGCAGGGGGAGTGGGAGAGGGAGAAGCAGGCTCCTGGCTGAGCAGGGAGCCCGATGCGGGGCTCGATCCCAGGACCCTGGAATCATGACCTGAGCCAAAGGCAGACGCTCAACGACCGAGCCACCCAGCTGCCCCTCCACATAGTTTTGAGAAGGCTTCACAATATCGTTAGATAAAATAATGGTAGATAATATAAATATTTTGTAAATGCTGTATGTAACAATCATGTCTTTGTTCTGGTATTAAACCCTGGAAAGAAAAATAATTTGTTTTCAGGCTTCTTTTGTAAGGGATGAATGATGTTGCTGGATAAATGAGCATGATACCCGTTTATGTATCTTTTTTTCAAGTGTTTCAAATTTCCTCCCATCATAGTGCCTGTAGCTGTTTTTGCTCTTTTGTCTTTTTTGAAAAGGTTTTTTTCACCCTGCACTTAAGAGGTAGCATCCTCCAGAATTGATGAAAAACAAAGTCAAGATCCTGGACAACTCATAGCAATACCCAAGATTTTTACTTTAATTCAGTGGCTTAATACCATGATAAAGGTTTTGAGAAATGAAAAAAAGTCATTGCACATTAATCATTATAATTTTAAGTTTTAGTGTTTTATTCAATACTAATCTTTTCTTCTGGGAAATTTTATAAATGGGCTAAATATATCTTAAAGATGACAAAATGGGGGGCGCCTGGGTGGCCCAGGGTCCTGGGATCGAGCCCCGCATCAGGCTCCCTGCTTGGCTGGGAGCCGGCTTCTCCCTCTCCCCCCCGCCCCCCCATCCCCCACTGTGATCTCTCTGTCAAATAAAATCTTTAAAAAAAAAAATGACAAAATGAATAGTTGGAAATGACTTAAATGATATAAAAGGAGTGATTTTATACAGGGTGGTAAAGCATAAACTTTAAGGACCTTCATTTGCTCAAACTTCTTTGAAGGTTCTGGGAAGAGTCCTAGCAATTTTGTATTCATAATTTTATATTCTTTTTCTTAAAAGGGCCCCCCAGATGCCTGGCTGGCTCAGTACAGCATGTGAGTCGATCTCGGGGTTGTAAGTTTGAGCCCACATTGCAGATAGAGATTACTTAAAAAAAATAAAATCTTTAAAAAAAAGTGCCCCCCCATTATATAAATATAAACTAGACGCCTCACAGGGTGCCTGGGTAGCTCATCGGTTGAGGTCTGAATCTTGGTTTCCCCTCGGGTCATGATCTCAGCGTCCTGAGCCCAACCAGGAGTAGAGCTCTGCGCTCAGCACGGAGTCTGCTTCAATTCTCTCTCAATCAATCAATAAAATCTTTTTTTTTTTTAAGATTTTTTTATTTATTTATTTGACAGGGAGAGACAGCGAGAGAGGAACACAAGGAGGGGGAGTGGAGAGGGAGAAGCAGGCTTCCTGCAGAGCAGGGAGCCCGATGCGGGGCTGGATCACAGGACCCTGGGATCATGACCTGAGCCAAAGGCAGATGCTTAACAACTGAGCCACCCAGGCGCCCCTCAATGAATAAAATCTTGAAAAAAAAAAAAAACTGGGGGCCTCACAGAATTATTTCCTCTGGATTAATTCCTAAATGTGGATACTGCTTGGACATAAGGGCAATTAAAATAGCAAACCCTTTTGGCTTTAACATTTTTTGAATTGGGATAGTATAAATATGGAGAGAAAAAGTAGGAATTATAAATAAACAATTACATGATATATTCTTATTCACTTTATTTTTTTTTAAAGATTTTATTTATTTGACAGAGAGAGTGAGAAAGGGAACACAAGCAGGGGGAGTGGGAGAGGGAGAAGCAGGCTTCCCGAAGAGCAGGGAACCTGATGCGGGGCTCCATCCCAGGACCCTGGGATCATGACCTGACTGGAAGGCAGACACTTAACGACTAAGCCACCCAGGTGCCCCTATTCTTTTTTTTTTTTTAATTTTATTTATTTATTTGACAGAGAGAGACAGCCAGAGAGGGACACAAGGAGGGGGAGTGGAGAGGGAGAAGCAGGCTTCCCGCTGAGCAGGGAGCCCGATGCTGGGCTCCATCCCAGGACCCTGGGATCATGACCTGACTGGAAGGCAGACACTTAACGACTAAGCCACCCAGGTGCCCCTATTCTTTTTTTTTTTTTAATTTTATTTATTTATTTGACAGAGAGAGACAGCCAGAGAGGGAACACAAGCACGGGGAGTGGCAGAGGGAGAAGCAGACTCCCCACCAAGCAGGGAGCCCGATGCAGGGCTCGATCCCAGGACCCTGAGATCATGACCTGAGCCGAAGGCAGACGCTTAACCATCTGAGCCACCCAGGCGCCCCTCTTATTCACTTTGTTTAAAAGCTTTCATGTAATAGTTCAGTTAGACTTAGAGGTGAAGATGTTACAAATACTGAGACTATTAAAACAAAAATTGCAAACTTGGTTTTTAAATTTTTTACCTCTGGAGCACCTGGATGGCTCAGTTGGTCTGTCTTCAGCTCCGGTCTGTCTTCAGCTCAGGTCTGTCTTTGGCTCAGGTCATGATCCCAGGGTCCTGGGATGGAGCCCCGAATCCGGCTCCTTGTTTTGGGGGGGGTCGTCTTCTCCCTCTCCCTCTGCTCCTCCTCCCTGCTTGTGTTCTCTCTAATAAATAAAATCTTCTTAAAAAATTAAACTTTTACCTCTTAAGGGTGATTAATTAGCTCTTTAAGGGTTATGTATGCCCATATTTTACTTAATGGAATTCTCATCTTGGTTGCTTATTTAAATCCCCACCAAACCCCAAACCAATTAAATCAGAATCTCTGGGATGGGACCCAGGTGTCAGTATTTTTTAAAACTCTAGGTTATTACAATACACTGTTTGAGAACTAGTGTTCTAATGCAATAATTTTTCACCTAGTTTTCTGTAATCCTTTTAATTTTCTCCACTCCTCTCTGCCACACCCCCAATTTTCATTACTTTGCTGTCAAATAGTATAGTCCCATAGCCATCTCAATTGTGGTTATGTCTACATAGGTCCATAGAGCCAATAATTTTGATTGAAATTTCTGATTAGCTGATTTGATTGAATTTATTGGTTGGTTGACTTGATCAAATTGATTATTGTTTTTGTGTCACATTAACTCTATCATCCTGAGAGGAGTCACTATTTTTTAAAAATCATTTATTTATTTGAGAGACAACAGGAAAGCATGAGCAGCGGGGAGGGTCAGAAGGAGCAGCAGACCCCCCCACTGAGCAGGGAGCCCGATACGCAGCTCAATCCCAGGACCCTGAGATCTTGACCTGAGCCGAAGGCAGACGCTTAACCAACTGAGCCACCCAGGTGCCCTGACAGGAGGCACTATGTTATCTTTCTTTAAAAGGTTCAATACAACCAAAGTATTTTGACCTAATGTGTCATCTCCATAAAGCTGTAATTTTATTAATTTAAAATAAACCTTTTAGGGCCACCTGGGTGGCTCAGTTGGTTGAGTGACTCTTGGTTTCAGCTCAGGTCATGATCTCAGGGTAGTGGGTTGGAGCCCTGCTCCGTGCTCAGCGGGGAGTCCGCTTGAGATTCTCTCCCTCTGCCCCCTACCCCCTGGCTTGTGCTCTCTCTCTAAAATAAATAAATCTTTAATAAAATAAACCTTTTAGTGAAACACTAGCACAGTATTTCGTCTAAGAAATATCCTTCTGATGGTTTTTCAGTTTACACTTAATACAAATCTGGGAAGCAATATTTTCTGCCCTTCATGCATTTTCTCTTCAGATGACCACGTATTTCAACCAATAAATGGGACATTATGTAACACCTGAAGAGAGGCAGCACACTGTGGTCTCAAGGTTCAGAAAATTAAGTTCAATTACTAATTTTGGCATTAATTAGTTCTGAAAATTTAAATCATTTCACTGATCTTTGCCTCAGTTTCCTGGAATGAAGTAGTGAGACTAAGTGATTCCATGTTAAAATTTAAACAGAAATTCTATGATTAATTTCCACACTACATAAATTTTCATTCTTTATAGCCAATCATCCTAAAATTCATCTTAAAACTACTTAGAAATCAAAGTTCATAAATATCTTTTCTTCTCCTAGCTATGTAATTCGTGTTACACTAAACCATTTCAAACTCTTTGGTAATACAATCTATTTTTTTAAAGTCTCGTTTAGCCAGAACATCAGGTGTTTCCTTTATATTTCAACAATCACACATGTAGAGTTAAAGATAATCTATCTCCTATCAGTAACAGCAGAAAACAATCTTTAAAATAAACACTCAATACCCCCCTCTTGCGAACCCACATTGTAGAACATGAGTATTTCTAAAGCAAAAGTGCACTTTTTAATAGTAATTTGGGTCATAAAATTATTCATCTTGCAGCTTGATCACAGTGAATCTAATTGACAGTTCAACATTTTCCCATTATAGTCTTTACTCCTTTTAAGACTTGTTTAAGTAGTCTGTAGTTTGATATGCTTTTTTTTATTTCAATACTTGGTGCTTTCATGGTAATTTGTGGAATGTTTATTTGGAAGAATGTTAACATTTTGCTTTAAACCTTATCAATCTGTTTCAGGAGAGCATCAGTTGGGGGTTGAACATCTCAGCAATGCCCTTTTAGTGTGTGGACAACCACAGGAACTTCTGAAGGTTTTCAAACTCACACTCCCTCCTCAGGTATTTGAGATGCTGTTACACAAAATTCCCCTTATTTGCCAGGTGAGCACATACTTAATTGTCTTTGCTAAATGTAAATAACCAGTAAATAACAGTAAATAACCATGTTAGGCTTGATTACGTAAAAATAGCAAAGTTTGTGTGTGGATGGGAGCTTTAAATAAGTAAAATTTCTGAATTTTTGGTTGCTTTTCTTGCCTTATGATGAAACAAGCTTATTTTTCATGTTCCTTTAACTACAGTGAATTGTATATTTTGTTGAGTCTTATAGATGTTTCAACATTTCCACTTTAAAGGTAGCACTGTTAATATTTTGTCTTTGTACCTTCAAAGCCCTAATGATTACTGACTGTAATGTCAACAGAGGCCTGTAAGTTAAATGGTATTGTTAGTTAAATGATGCAATAGCTTAAAAATTAGATGTAATACAGAAAACCATAATTTATCAAAGCAGAATAATACTTTTGGCTTCAAATATGACAAAACATAGAAATCACTTTGGTAATGGAAACATATAGGCTAACTTAGATTAGTGTTCTCTTAAGTGCAAGTTTAGATTGGTACCAAATGAAATCCACTCAGAAGCCAATTTACTAGTGGGTATTAGTCTACTTAACATTTACCAAATTTCTTGGTATATTTATGTATCAACTAGAATTCCCTGCAGATGCTTGGATTTGTTTTAGGATTCATTTAGCCATAAGACACTACTTTAACTTCAGTTCACTTTTTATTGCACTGATCACACGTCATGGATGAGAATACACTGTATAATGTTGGACTGAGAATCATTCATGTTGGACTCAGCTTTTGAACAAAACACAAAACACAGTCTCCACTAGAGCATACTAGTCAACTCTTACATATTCACAAGGTAGTCTCAGATGGAATGTTTCCTGTAGACATATGAAAAATATGGCTAAGATACGAATGTATAATGCCTACCCTGACACAAGAAGGGAGGCAAGAAACGATCGTGCGTTGAAATGATTAGCAAGTAACTATTTTATGTATTTACCAGCAATTTGAGGCAGACATGAATGAACAGGAATACTTGGAGGACGATCGTGACTGAAAAACATTTCAACGTATCCACAGTCCAGTCAGAATACTATGGTACTCTATATAGTATAAACAACTGCCCAGTGATATTTCCATTTATTTTACTTTTAGTAATAAAAAATTGTTTCTATCTCATACATGATTGAACACATATTTTGCTTTAAAATTAACAGTCACAATTGAAGAAACAATGGTTTATTTTTCTAATGAAATTACCCAGCTGCTGAATCTTAAGGCCTCAACAAATGTTGTATCTTATTATTTTCATTGAACAATAAGACCTCCTATTTTGATTATTCTCAGTAAATAGCAATTTTGTTTCTCCAGTTGTTTCCATTTGCCAAAGTTATGACAGACAGTTTAATATGGTGGCTACTGCTTTCAGGAGATTCTATCAGATGAATCCTCATTTCCATCACAACAGCTGCTGGCAATCTTTCATCAAAAGTCCATCCATTAGGACTTCTCTATCGTGGTTGGCCAAGAAGTCCTGCTTTGGCTGCCAGGGCTTCATTCTGCTGAATATGATATTCCTGAAATCTCATGGATATTCTTTGTGTCATTTTTAAATATTTCTGTAAGCAGTGTTCGGAACAGGTGGTCTAGAAATAAAAAGAGAAGATCCAAGAGGCAACACAGAAATATTAATTTTTAAAAAGTGCACGTACTCTAAATGAACAACCAGTGGGTGCCTTTCTTTTCTTTCAATAGATGAGAACTAAATGGTATGAATGAGTAGCAAGTCCATATAGCTTTCAATTGTTAGTAGTTTTATCCATTTACAAGAATTAATATATACTGAATGCCTACCAGTTTATAAGCACTAAAAACAATGATGGTATGTCCCTGACTTTTCCATCCCTCATTCTGATTGTTAAAACATAGGCCCAGGAGTAAGTTTGTTCCTTTTTAATGAGAAACTCCATTCTGCACATTCTTAAATTTCAACATTTCTTTTTAACAAGAATACTATACTTAGCATTTTTCAAGCTTTGTCATTTATTTAACAAGGACTTGTTGATTGCTGGTTATATGTTCTTGGCATGAATGTTGATCAACATCTTACACTGGAGGAAGTTTATGTCACTTTTAGCCAATATATAAATGTTTTGATGAGGATATTAAAAATTAAGAGATCTCATAGGATTGAGTTTTCAGAGTCCACCTATGCAATATGAGCCGCCATATTCAAGCTCTGCTTTTTCCAAAATTAACTTGAGTTGTCAGGGTCAGATAGAAGAGCCATATCAAGTTTCTCTAGCCAGGCCATCTTGACTGAAAGCTAATTAGTAAGAATCTTTCTTTGCTATGGAACAGTAATTCAGCAAGCCCTAGGCATCTTATAAAAAAAAAAAAATCTGCCATGCTACAGTATATATGACAGGTTGTCATATTAAATTTGTGATCATTAACTTCAATGCCATGGGTCCCTGACTGCTTCAGTTCCTCTGAGCAGTGGAACATATTAAGTAACCCAAATTCCTGTAGTAACTAGGAACAAGGGAAATGGTTAGAGGCATCCCATTTCTATTGTTTATGACAGGTTTAGAGAATTTTTAGTGGGCAACACTTTTCATACCTCTTCAGGTTTTACTTCTCTTGTTGTGAAGTCTTTAACGCAATCCAAAAAGCAGGTTTCTGTAAGTTTATTGTAGGTTCCAAGAAATTCCTTAAACTACGAACAAATCAGAACATTCTTTAATATTTGGTTTTTTAAAGCAAAGATGTTTTGAAACTTTAATTACTGATGTTTTGTATTTGGGGAAAATACCCTGTAATACTTGAAATCAACAGTTCTTTCACTAACTCAAATGGGCATAATATGACCTGCATGGTATGATCTACAAAATATAGTCCAATTTTCTAGTTGAATTCATTCCTGGATATCTGAAAAATAAATGTTTCATATCATTTAAAATCCATTTTTGGAAATGAAATATGAAGTTATTTTGTGAGATCACTGACTGACATGGTTGTACCCAGTTAGCCTTAAATTTTTTGCAAAATTCTTTTTTGTTAATTGTAATACCTTACCTGTTTTATCTGATCAGATTCTGGTATTTGTGCAGCCATATTCTATTGGTATGTTTATTAGTCACCTGATTTAAAAATTAAGAAAAAGTTTGTCAGTCTCTGAACAAATATTTTTAGGCTAGCTAATAAGTTAGGTAATTAAAACAGGAAGAGTTTATGAAAATAAATGAAACAAAATTTACCTGAAATTACTAATGGAGTATGTAATTATATCCCCCTCTCCACAATCCCCTAGGTCATTAATGGCAATGAAGAACACTACAGTTTATAGAATTAGATTTTTTAATGCTGGCTATAGGCTCCAAAGGCCCCCTCTATCTAAATCTCCAGTTTTAAGACAGCTTGCTCTATTACCTTGCAAGGTTACTTGTTAAAGCCTCGTTCCTAGTAAGGTTTTAAGGGAAACCAAGAGATCTATGGTGTCTTCCTGCAAGTACTTAACTATTTTAATGTAACTTTGACCTGTGATAATAATGATTCTTTTACTATCTCTACATAAATACAAAGTTTCTATTAATTGTTAATAAACACCATCCACGTGGGGCGCCTGGGTGGCTCAGTTGGTTAAACTCAGACTTGTGATTTCGGCTCAGGTCATGATCTCATGGGTTGTGGGATCAAGCCCCATGTGGAGCTCCATGCTCAGTGGGGAGTCTGCTTAAGATGCTCTCTCCCTCTGCCCCTCACTATCCCCCCCCGCTCCCACACTCTCAAAAAAAAAATCATAAGACATTAATAATACAGTACTGTAAAAAATCTGCATATAAGTGGACCTATGTAGTCCAAATCTGTCTTGTTGTTCAAGGGTCAACTGCATATGTTTTTACCATATAAGCTACCTGAAAAATACCATCAATTAACTGAAGATCACAATTTTTCAAGTACTGCTGTGCTATTATAAAATACCACTAACCAGTCAAAGAGAAGATTCTATATTATACAATGCAGTTTAGGACTTGTGCTTCTGGGAAGATGGAGCAAGAGATGTGTTTTTCCTTATTCTTCAAACTAAGTACAACTAAAAACACTGGACATGACATAAAACAAACATAAGACTTTAAAAAGGTGGAGAGAATAAAGTATATTGGCCAGGGCCCTTGGGACCTGAGAAACAAAACAGTGGGGAATTTCTCTCTTTTTTGTCTCCTCTATCACAGAGTTGGAGCTGAAGAAGCCAGCAATCTGCAAATGCCAATGGGCACAGTCAAAACCCCCCATCTCCCCAAAGCTGGCCCTATCTAGCCAAAGGGCCAGGAAAGGGGAAGCCTATAAGATAGAAAACTTTTAAACAATAACTGTGTACTCCAGGCAAACAAAAACACTGGCCTGTATCCCCCATCCACCCACATCAACATAAGCCAAGTTAGGAGCCTAGACTTCCACCCTTACTAAGCTATAATGAAGCACTCAGTCCCCCACACTTCAGAGAAGGGAGATTTGGAAGCAGGGACTTTCATCCTTACTGGGCATTAATGAGGGCTCCCCCAACCCCAACAAGTGTCAGTGGAAACAACATGAGGAGTCTGGACTTCTACCTCAATTGGCAGTAATGGGTTACCCTTCTCTCTTCCCTCTGGGTGGTATCAAAGGAGGCCTTTTTGAGATCCAAGGCTTGCATTACTGTCCTGTGGTAATGAGTTCACATATCCTCTTCTGGTGTCAGTGGGGACCATGTGGGGAGCAGTAATGAGGCACTCCAGTCCCTCTCCAGTCCCTCTCCTACCAGTGGAGGCCTGCTGGAGAGCCATAACTCCTCCTCTCTTGCCCAGCAGTACTGAGGAGCAGACCAGCCCCATATACCTTAAGTGACAGAGTGAGGCACCTGGACTTCTATCCTACATCTAGTAGTAATGAGGCAGCATGCCCACTCCCTGACTTCTGCTAATGGAGCAGTGGCAAAAGGAGCCAGCTAGAAAAGGTTTAAACAAGATCTAGAGCCTCATAACACAGTATGCAAAATGTAAGTTACAATAAAAAAAAAAATCAATCATCATACCAAGAACTAAGAAAATCTCAAACTGGGGGCGCCTGGGTGGCTCAGTCATTAAGCGTCTGCCTTCAGCTCAGATCATGATCCCAGGGTCCTGGGATCGAGCCCCGCATCGGGCTCCCTGCTCCGCGGGGAAGCCTGCTTCTCCCTCTCCTACTCCCCCTGCTTGTGTTCCCTCTCTCGCTATGTCTCTCTCTGTCAAATAAATAAATAAAATCTTTAAAAAAAAAAATCTCAAACTGAATGAAAAAAGATAATATATATCCAATATTGAGATGACAGATTTCAAATTATCTGACAAAGATTTTAAAATGGCTATTATAAAAAATACCTCAATGAGTAGTTATGAATATGCCTGAAACAAACAAGATATTAGAAGAACCAAATGGAAATCTTAAGAAGTGAAAAATTAAATAACCAAAATAAACTGAACAGATAGAATCAATAGCAGAATGGGGACAGAGGAAGCAATCAGCAAACCAGAAGATAGAAAATAGAATGAACCAATCGGAATATTCAAACAGAAAAATATAATGAAAAAAATGAACAGAGTACCAGGGAACCTATATGATGTAACAAAAGATCAAATATTTGTTTCAACAGAGTCCTGGAAGAAGAGGAGAAAAGAGCAAGGCTGTAAAAGTACTAGAAGAAATAATGGCTGAAAACATCCCAAATTTGGCAAAAGATAAATTTATGCATCCAAGAGAAGCTGAATGAATGTCAAAGAGCATAAACACACAGAACTCTACATCAAGATACAGCACAGCCAAGCATCTGAAAACTAAAGACAAAAATTTTTGAAAGTAGCAAGTGAAAAAGTAACATCTTACCTACAGGGGAAAACAATTAGGATGACATCAGTCAATCCAGAACCTGCATCCAGAAAAAATACACTTCGGGAATGAAGGGGAAATCAAGACATTCTCAAATGAAGGAAACTAGAATTTGTTGCCAGCTGACCTACCTTAAAAAAAGAATTAAAGTTCTAAACAGAAAGGAAATGATAATAGGATACTTGGAACATCAAGAAGGAGGAAAAACAGAATAATAACAAATATGAGTAAGTGCAAAACACTTTTCTTCTCTTCTAAAGTGTCCTAAACTGTTTGA